CGACGCCGTTCTAACCTGAGAATCTGATCTGACACGCTGCTTCGTCTAATAGAGAATGTGAAAGTTGTGCCACAAGAAAAAAAAATTAGTTAAATATAATTGGAATTTTCTCTTTTACCCTTTTTGGAACTTTCAAATTTGTTAGCCAAATTTTCGTGAGTGTTCGGACTACCTTACCATATTTGGTTACTAGAGAATTATGAGCAATTAATTGCTACGAATTTTCTCTCAAAGTCTTCTTTTTTTATGCTTTGTTGCTGTCTTTTTCTCTCTACCTTATTTAGTCTCTCTCCAAATTCGTCATGAATCTCAATGAAAATTGACTTTGTAAAAGAGAAATGGGTGCTTCGACGTTCAAGTTAGTATAGGTATGAATTGTTTCCTTTTCAAATTAATATCAAGATTTGTGTGTACTCGATAATCAATTTACTCTAGGCATTTATAGACAACTAACGACTAAATTATAACAGCCCAAGATATCTCATCTGAAAATGGCGGAGCAACATGCAGAGTGGTGACAGGTGGACGGTTAGAGGTAGATATGTCCGAATTCCCCATGGCCAAACTTCCAAAATCAACTAGTTTACTACTAGCAATGGTCGTCTATTTAAGTTCGGACTTCTCAAGCTAGACTTTGTGTCAACTTCAACGAGTGACACGTAGAACGTTTTCGACCCCTGACAAGTTTTTTCTAATAGCTTCGTGTTCATGCCACTATCAGGGCTAAATAATTTTCTTTTCTTGTTATTTTCATCTAAAAGAAGAGAAGTTTGTGTTATGGGAGCAAGTAATTCAACATTTATTATTTTACGTGCATACTTTTTGATCCTTTGATGATATGTTATCGTATCCACTTTATATGTAAATTTATATATGAAAAATATTACTAATAAATAATGATTTATATGAAGCGAGCTTGAGTATCACTCACCAACTAAGATTTTAGTAACATTTTTTTAGATTGGATGATTGAATTCTGACTCACACTATATTTTGAAACATAAAGAAAAAAGAAAACATTCGTAAAAGAATGCTATTTTCAAATTCATATGTTATCTTTGTCACACCATAAATATTTGATGATTGAAAAAAAAAAACAAAAACAAAAGCAAAAAATATATAATCTTTTACATATAATAATTTAAAAAAAAAGTAGTAAAACAAATCTTAAATGATTAGTACTGTATATGAATGTGAATCCAACTACCACTTTGCTAACAGAAACCCAACCTATCAAAAAAAAAAGGAAAACCAATCACGTTTGGTTGTTCCTCGAAATTAAGATCCGACAACTAAGTTTTGAAATTATTAATATAAGAGAAAACAAAGACAACATGGAAAAGTACATGTTCTTCACCTTTTTCCAATTGCTTCCTTTTGAAGTTGACATCTCATTCTTCTCATTCATTTCAAAGTGTAATACTATTTTGATTCATATTACTTTTTTAATTGGTTTGTTTTGACTATTTTCAATTTTTGTTTATTTTAATCCATGTACTTTGAAATTATCTGTTTTGATTATTGTACTTTTAAAAGGGACAATTTTGGTCCCTGTTGGTAAAATTTTAACATAAATTTAATATACAATGAAAACTTTTTGATACAAATTTATGATTACATTTCAATAAATTTTACTAGTGAAGTGATATTCTAAATTTTGATCCAAATAAATGAGATAAAAATGAAAATGAATGGACCAAAGTGGTCACTTTTTAAAAGTACAATGACCAAAATTAATTTTTCAAAAGTACAATTATCACAATGAATCAAAGTTGAAAGTAGAGTGATCAAAATAATATTTAAACATTTGTTTTAATAAATCAAGCCACTGGAATCAAGTTTAGAGTAAAAAAAAAAGAAAAGGTGGTATTAAGTTTACATAATCTTTAAACTTCAAAAAATTCTAACTTCTCATTACAAATTTGAAATTTGGAATATGATTTATGTCGTTTTTATTGATAATGCGATTAATAGAATAAAAAAGTATATCTTAGCTCGACTAATTAAGACATCTATATTCGATCAATAAATTTTGGTCGATTTGGTACAAGGTGAAAAATATTGTAGTTCAATGAAAGAAAATGGTTTGGTCCATAAATGTATTGTCCTTTTGATAATTATAGGAACTTTAATTGCTCCTTAAAAAGGTGCATTAAAAATATTACATCTCCACGGAAAAACATATTTCACATTTTAAGCTTAACCCCCTTTTTAAAAAGTGAATTAATAGCCCTCTTTCGTTTTCAAGGGCAAAATCATCTTTTACGTGGCAGCGTGATATCATAGAAAATCCATTTCACAACTTTTCCCTTACATTACCTTAATTAATGTATTTTAAAGTTATTGGAAATTATAAATAAAATTATTCGATAAAGTTTTAAAGAACCACACCTCTTTCGTTTCAGGAAAACTGTGCATTGTATTTCTTTTTCACTTACAGTTACATATTTTGAAACGTTTGATTCACATGTTAGTAATACACCGTGTTTGGGGGTAAACATAACCAGGACACGTGGATGACACTTATTAGTGTTTGAAGAATTGAATAAAAGGAATTGCCTAGATCCACCTCGGCCCTGTCGAGGAGACCGTGTTCGCCCATTATAAAAAGGCTAAGTATAGACGCCAAGGTTCGACCTGTCTGAGGCCCGATCTGCTTGGAACCCGACAGGTTCGACATAAGAAAAGACATATAAACGCTGGTCGTGAGTACTGTCGGATCCGCCATCTATAAATAGAGGGACTCATTTCATGCTCAGGTATCGGATCTCACCTCGAACTAAATACGGAGTTCGACCTATACTGACTTGAGCGTCGAAGTGTTTACCCTCTTGTGCAGGTCCACTCTAAGTGTTCAGGTCGTGACCGGAGACCGAGTTCGAACTTGATTCATGAAGAACCGTTGATTAACACACCGTACTTTTAGATATACTTGACGGAAAAAAATTTGGTTTCAGATTAATCTTTTTTTTTTTGGTACGTTATATCCATAAAAATAGTATAAATTTTTTAATATAATATTTTATTAGTAATATAAATAAAAATGAATTAAAGAACAGTGAATATCCGAAGAAAGTAAACATATGGAGGCAAATCCGAAATGAGAAAAAATTATTAGTAATATAAATAATAAAAATATCAATGAACTATTTCTCAAAAAAAAAAAAAATCAATGAATTAAAAAAGTAGGGAGCTCCTGGGATTAAATTGATGAGTAAAAATATCTGTCTCTTATACACATCTTAAAAGAATTCCTCGAAGAAAGGCTCCATAACTAATTAGACGTGGGGCCCAAAACGAAAAGGAAATATAACAATATTTTCAAGATCAGAGATCGAACCTCCGAAAAAGCCCAATTACGATCCTTGGGAAAGAAAGCTCCGATCATGCTTTAATTACGATGCTAGAACTGCACTCACCAACTAAAACTATATTCGACTAATCATTAATTATTCAATAATATGATCCTACAACTACACACACCCACTAAAACTATATTTGACTAATCATTAGTTATAAATTATAATATTATTGAAGATATATGTTAATTACTATTTAACTATAAATATTTAATTAAGATTTAAGCACCGAAACAAAAACAAGCACAAAAATAAAATATTGTTAAAGTACAAAAGTAACACTTTATACATGAAACATCAAAATCACCGGTCTTCTATCCGTACGTATATATTACATTGCAGTGGGCGGTCGGAGCTCAGAGCTCGTCGTCGACCTCCGATCGAACCATGTCGTCTTTGATCCTCTGCGATTTCTTCTTCGCCGCCTCATACTGCTCCGCCACCTTCTCCTTCGCCCCCCCGTAC